ATAAATTTAATGGGATAACCTAAATTAAGGACTAAAAGTACTTCCTTCTGCCAAACTTCGTTATTTCCAAAGAACCGGATTGTCTCTGTTGGTGCCAACAGTAATAAAGGAGTCTGATGTTACAACAATAATAAAATTGGATCGTCTCTAACCCCCCCCCCCCAAAAAAAAAAGGATTCTATGGATTACACCTATTCTATGGAGTTTTAAAAATAAGACGCACTGTTATTTTTTGCATGTTCTACTTTTCTTTCCTACTCTTATTTTTATTCTCTATTCTTTTAATTGACAAATTGACTAATTGAAGTTTTATCACGCAAGTCTTAATAAACAATCAATAAGATTCTGTGTTCTTGTTGCCAAGTTTCGGAAGTAAAGACCATCAATTGTCATGTGTGAAAGGCCTACACAAGTTGTCTATATATATGTTCACACTTACCAAAAAAAAAAACAAAGAAGAAGAAATTAAAGTTTTGGTCCATGCAATATAGGTCATGTGGTTTGAAATATTACGATCGGTTTAGTTTTTGAAGGGAATAAAGGGGCGGGAAGGAGAGATGATAGAAGATTTTAATAAACTTGATTTAATAAAAATGGGAAGTGAAACTAACATGCTGTAGGTTAGATGATAAGTAGTTTTATCTCTTGTAAGGAAGAAAACACAAATTTGAATCCTAAGAAATGCACTTGTTAAAAAACTTTAACCTTAACGTTCTTAACTTAACAAATTTAAAAATAATGAAAAGAAAAATAAAGAAGTGGGATTGAAAGAGTTTTAATTGATTTTCCTGTATCTTTCCATTACATATTCTTTTTACCAAAAGTTTACAGCCCATTTATTTATTTGTTTAAACCCAACTTATTAAAATTTTCTCTGTGATTCCCTCTTATTTACTTCCCTGTATCGAAACAAACGAAACCTAGTAAAATAAAGAAGGTAGACCTTTCAAAAGGTGTACTTTTGGTTAAAGACAAACTAATATTCAGAGGTTATACTAGTGTGAAAATAAATTAAAACCATGGAAATCAAACGTAAAAAACCAGAAGTTGACTTGGGTGAAACTGCCCGTACATGTTAACAGTATTTGAACATAGTTGAGAAATTTCTGTTATAAATTTGTAATCATAAGCCTAAAACAAGTGTATAGTTCTTTGAAATTACAAGAGAGAAACTTCATTAGATTTCAGAATGGCAAAATGGCAACTGGTACTCATCGGCCTGATCGTTGCCAAAATGGCTTGGAATAATGAGATTCTTCGCTTGTCACAAAGAACAGTTCCTTGTAAGGTTTCAATTACTTTCTTCTTTTTTGTTTAAGGGAATCTCCTCACATGGTAATGTTAGATTAAATTTATTAATTTAATAAATAAGTTGGGTAGCATTAATTAACGGAAATATTTAATTTAAGGGCTAATATTATCTTTAGTCCCTATAATTTGACCTTATGTTGGTTTTGATCCCTGTAATTTGAAACTAATAATTTTAGTCCTTGTTTCAGAGACTACAAATACTGTTTTAGGGACCAAGTATTTTTAGGCCAATCAAAATACCGATAAAATCGTTCTCTTCATTCTATGCAAGCTAAGAGGAAAGTAAATTACTTCTCTCTGCAAGATTTATTTGAAGATTTCAATGGTTTTTGAATGTTTTATATAAACACAAACCACTATTAACGATAATTTCTTTAATTTTATATCTTACTGTAAGAATGATAATTATTTTTCCCCTATAACCTTTGTTATTACTTTCCAAATAATTAAGGTATTAGGTATCTCAATAAATTTTTATGGTTTGAAGTACCACCAATTCGTGCAACTGAAATATCTCTCTAGATGACGTATGTGTCTACTTTTATACTGTATCTGTGGACAAAATGTTATAAAGCCTACTTCATAGAGTTAAAAAAAGATGCATGGTTTATAAGTTTAAGGGATCTTTTTTTTTTTTGTTTTTAAATTGTCCAACTTTTTTGTCGAGCGCTCCCTAGGTGGTTCCTCTCTCACATCATTCGTTTAAAAATAATTCTCTCAACAATATATGATATTAAAAATTATTTGATAGAACTTACCATTTGAAAATTAAATGTTCCTACTAAGTACAGTTTATATATATATATATATATATATATATCTTGAATTGAAGTTTTTGTTTGGTCTTCTTTTTCAGCTCCTCAGCCGGAATCAGGAGACAAGGACGATCCGCGCAATCACAACTACTAATTTGAAGCTCAGTCTCTGGATTAGGGATACCTGGATTTATGTCTCACTTTTTGGACGGAAAAGTGCGTCATTTAATTCAAATTTTTACAGTCCAATTAATCTAAACCATGTCTAAACATTTTGTTAAAATGAAAATTGTTCTAAACAAATTTAGATGGTTCATATTTACTCATGTTAATGTAAGTTAGCGTTTTTCTGTTTGCTTTTAGGTCGGGCGCGCAAGTTAGATATACACAATACACGCATAATTGGCTCAGAACATCTGATTAGGATTGAACTATGTTGAAGCAATTTGGTCAGATTGTAAATATTATGTCTCGTGTTGATGTTATTTCTAAGTCCCGTCCAGCATTCTAATCTTATTTACAGAACCACCTTAATGTTATTTAGTGCTTCAGACACCCTAATCACTCACACACATACACACACTACCTTTAGTCCTTAATATAAGAGCTAATTTGACTTTTAATCTGGTCCTGCATATAAGAAACCGAATTTACTTTCTCTCTTATATTAATTTATTTTTTTAAGGTAATTTTGTAGTAATTGCATATGTTAAAAATTTCATTAAATAGTAGTTCTAACTAATACATATGATTAGCAACAATATATTAAGGAAGACAACACTTATTTATTATAAGTAACTAACTTAACAAATTTCCTTAATCTATTTAAATTAGTCAACTAGCTTCTATATTAAGAATCAGAAGAAGTATAATGCATCTAACATTCTAATCTTACTTATGATTTAGAGCGGTGGATGTAATTGAAAAGTAATATCAAGAATTGCTGGATGTACCAAAAAAAAATAACATTCAAAATGTTGATGTAACCAAAAAATAACATCATGATATTAAATGCTGTTTATTTATCCTTATCTTGATATAGGCATATCTTCTGGCCCAGCTGAATTAAAAGTAGTTGTCGTGAGTCACTTGACAAGTGGCATTATACCTCTAGTTTTAACTAATGGAACGTTACCGCGACATTTAAACTATTTTTTCCCCAACTTGCATGAATTTTATATAAAAATTTGAGCATGTGTCATTGATCTGACATATTTAACATGTAAAATTCTGGTAAACAAAATTTGTTTATTATTGAATCCATTTATATATTTCTTCGATCTCTCAACTATTGGTTGCCAAGTACAATTTTACTGATATGATGCACTCATTTTTGTCCATTCGTAGATTTCAACAATACTCCCTCCGTTCCTTATTATAAGAGACAAATAACCGAAGTACGTTGATCAAAAAAACAGTTAAAATTAGTTAAGAACAATTAATGCGCAAAAAGTATAATTTATTTTCCAAAAATGCCCTCATTAACAAGGAGAGAGAGCATGAGAGAGAATAATTAAATTATTAAAAGAAAGAGAAGTGGGAGGGAGAGAGAGTGTGAGTTGAAGATAATAAATATGGGTAAAATAGTAAATCAACACAAAAAAGTAGAGACAACTTGTAAGTGTCTCTTATATATAGGAACATGCAATAAGCATCAAATGTCTCTTATAATAAGGAACGGAGGGAGTAGTACATTTTAATTTTATATTTTGAGACCAAGTAAAATTTTTTAATTTGAATGTAAAATACTAAAATCCATTGATTTGTTTATTCTGTTGTCGATAAACATATATTTAACTATCCACTTTCAATCGTATAATAATGAATGAATGAAAGTCATAGAACAAGTAATTCACATCATTGATGTTGTATGGTGACAAGTCAACGCCAAATTCGTTCATTTTCAACCTTTATATTTTGGTTCTTATTAATGATATATTATTATAGACAAAATTAGCATATCGAATAATAACATAAAAAAACCAATGTTAAAAGTTAACATTTTAATAGTATGAGGTAATATTGTTACGATTTTAAATTATTGAGGCAAATATGTGCCAAAAATAAAACCTTAAGGACAAATGTGTACGTTAATCCTGTTATACGTATGTATGAAGAGAGAGATCAGAGAGTGCTCTATAGAGGCAGGAAGCTATGCGATTGAACTCAGAAGCTTTCTTGGTTGAATGATCTTACTAATCTTTTTAAGATGAGAAGAAGACCCAATTTTTCCTTTAATTTTCCTACTAAAAAATCTGACATGGATAAAGAGTGACGTGGATATCACATAAGCATGCCATCTCAACACAGTTAATCAATTAACGGTTGGTAAGTAGATATTACTACGTTTTTATTACTCTTAGAGTAATATTGCTCCCAAAAAAAAAATTTAAACACCTATAAATCCTTGGGAGAACTTCGAGAGCAAAAATGACATTTAACCCATTTTACATCATAAATAAACCAATCTTGTATTGCGTCATTCTTACTCAACCTTGGGTCCAACCTCACAATAATCTGTTAAAATTAAGAAACTTTAGCCAAATAACTGTATTTGAATTATTTCCCATTTATATGTTAATTATAAAGAGAAAAATAGAGGGAGGGCGAGAAGAAGACAGAACGTTAGAATTGTGAAGATAATGAACTAACAAAAAGAGAGACGAAGAGAAATATTGGAATTAAAACATCCAAACATATAGAAAGAAAATTATGTAAAGAGACTAAAAACACTTCTTTTCTTCTTTTTCATATTATTATAATATGAAGCATGAGAAAGTCAACACAATGCTGCAAAAAATCATAAAGAAACAAAAGAAAACAAAGGATTAGCTAAAGGAAGTCGCATTATTCATACAGGATGAACAATGCGAGTCATCTCAAACTTCCTACAAAATATGAGTCTAAAACTAAAACTAAAACTAAAAACTATTTTTAATTTTTTAGGTAATATTTTGCGATACGACCATCACCTCCTTTGGGGTGGAAACCACCAGGAGTATGTTCATCACCACTGCCATATACAATCCTCAAAATTTCTTGTGGTGTTCTTGAATACGCGACTGAGTCCTTGTCCGCAGCGAGGATGTTGCCGGTGACTTTACCCTCGGCACCGTCGGCTTTGGGGACGACAAGACCCTCATCTTTATTTGAACCTTTTTGCCCTAACTTGTTTCTAAGTTTGGAAATGCGATTTGTGAACTCTGCAACATTCACTCCATATGGATACACTGGTAGAGCTCTACGTTCATATAATAAGGCTCGAATTACTGCATCTTGGCCTGACTCTACTGCCAAAAGTCCTGCCACTAGCTATACATATAAAAACCAACACATCATATATACTGAAATTTGTAATAAATACAGGAAAAATTAATTCATCACGGTTTCACATAATTCTTAATCAGGTCGTTGTAGTTTTTTTTTTGTTAAGTCCTTATATGTTTTTCTCAATTATAAGTATCAATCACTATCCTAATAATCTATTAATTTGGGTTGATGTGGATGTTAAATAAGTGACATATGAGTTGCCACAAAATACAAAATAAAAAAGGTTTTTTTTAGAATAAAATGATTGAATAAAATTTATTTATTATCAACATAAAAGTAAAAAAAATCATTATGCTCAAAATTGTCTTCTAGCATCTATATACAATCTCTAATCTGGTTGATTTGGATTTTATTTAAATCTATATGGCAAAATTAATTTAAATCTATGCTGAGTGAGAACCACATCATCAGCTACCAATGTCATTTCTCATTTTCTCTTACAAATTAATAAATTACGAGTATAGGAATCAATACTTATGTAATTATTGAGAAAACTGTAGGGACTGAAAAAAACAATACACGGACTTGATTAAAAAATGAGGTGAAATTATAAGAACTTACATATTAATTTTTTTGCATAAACATCAGTGTAATAATTAGGGGCAAAATTAAATCACCTCTTTGGAAGTAGCCTTTTGAAGCTTAGGATTGGCTCCAACATATCCAGTGAGACCAACATAAGGAATGACGTAAGATGCAAGCAAGTAGTTAATTGAATTGGCGTAGGGATCAAAAGGTGGCACTAAAGTTTTTCCAAAGGCATTGTTCATTATTGTGGCAAATGCTTCACTGCTTAAATTAAGCAATGGCCTTGGAAAGCCTTTTACTCTGTTCCTTATGGCCCTGCGATATTACAATAAGGCAACTTCACGATGTTGTTATTTGTCAAATAAAAGACACTTGCAAATTTAAGTGTATTTCTAGTCTTTTAATTTCATACATTTTCATTTTAGTCATTAATTTTGTAAAATGAAATAGAAAATTTTTTTAAAATGCTTTTATATATATATATATTAAATTTTAATTTTTAAATTAATAATGATTAGCACAAAAAATCATCATTTGAGACTACTGTATTAGGGCTAGATGAGTGAAAAGTTACTTTATGAAATTATGGGACAAAGCTGAAACTTTGCATGAAGGTAGATGATTAAAGAAATACTTTTTCCATACATTTATTTTCAAATATTCTTAGTCAAGACAAAAAAAATAAACGTTTTGTTTAGAGATCTGTAGGTCAAAATTTAAAATAAATTGATATTATAGCTTTTCACACATATGAAATGATCTTAATTTTCTCTTCAAGAATCTTCAATGAAAGAAGATATCTTATATAAAGATGTGGAGAGAGACATCAAAGAAAGAACCTCAAATGTCCAACTTCTTCGAAACCAAATTGCAGGGTGATATCCCTTGTGAATTGATCAAGCTTGGCCATCTTGGCACCAAGTGGCGATGGTCCACCTTGCGCAAGCTTTGGATCTACAATGTCCAAACCATAGCCCAAAGATCCATAAAGAAAGAACTCGGCTTCCAAATACTCCAAATTCAAAGGGAACTCAAGATAATCATCGTCGTTAAAAGCAGGGGTAGTGTTACTTGCACTCACAAAAATTATTTCAGAAGAAGAATATGAATTTGGAAGAAATATAGGGAGGAAGAAGGATGTTAGGAAAACAAAATTGAAAATGGTAATAAAATGTTTCTGAAAAACCATATCTGATTTTGTATTGGAAATAGTAAACTAGCGAGTTGAATGACACAATTCACTTGTATTTGCATCACTCTATATATGTAATGACACATTATCTAAATTTAGTGTAGGCAATTTTATCTTTTATTTTTAATATTTTATTGAAAAATTACTTTCATAATATATTGTTAAAATGATTTTTCAAAGCTTTATTAAACAGAAATTTTTTGGCCAAGATAAATTACTCGTCTTTCTAAGTTTGGAAATAAGTTGAATCTTACACGATCTGTATACTAAAAATGACTTTTGATTTCAAAATCAACAACTTTTCACTAAGTATCCATAAGAATTTAGTCTTGTGCCTATAGAAGACTCGATCAGGTGTAACAATAGTATGCTAAAAAAAGAAAATATCGTCACTTGAAAATATCATAATAATTCAACTAAAATCCATGTATATATTTTCAAATGAAAAGAGAAAATCGTTTGATGAAGCATATATAAAAATATTATTTTTTTCACTATCATTTACCCCCAAAAGGAAAAGATAAGGGGTAAAAATTTTTTACTTAGCACCTTAATGTTATTTTTCTGGTGCCAACACCCTTGATATCTGTAATGAATGGGCTTAGCATTAAGAAAGATTTGGGCCATGAGAATAGGACTATTGGGCCAAATGCTTATTTGAATGGGCCCAAGAGAGGTGGAATAGGTTAAGATGAAAGTGTAAATAGATGGGGGTGCGAAAGACTGCTGGGTGTGAAGAATTTTGTGAAGTGATCTCCCTCTCTGGCGTCCATCCTCGCTGACCGCCCTTTTCTTCTGCTTTTCTACTCTGAATTTCCTTTTCCTGCTGCTAGGTCCTTCTCTTCTACTGTTCTGGACTTCATTATTGTTATTTTGCTTGTAGTTCTGGAGCCTCATTACAGATATTGATGTCAATTTATTTAAGTTTTATCTATTAAGTTGCTATTATAAAAAGTGATCATAACAATGTCATTTTTCAGTTGTATCTAACACCCTAATGTTATTTGTGGTATAGGGTGCTGGATATTTTTATAATCTTATTTATGTTTTATTATACTCTCAATCCATTTATCAATATTTCAACCATATTCATGTCTTTATAATATTCTTTGTGATTTAGGATACTGGATACACTAAATAAGATTAGGACATTAGAAGAACTAGAAAAGGAACGTTAGGGTCTGGAAGCACCCTACTCAATTTATTGTTTGAAATTGAACCAAAACATAATGAGTTGGAATTTGATTATCCTTCTAAGATAAGGACTAAAAATTGTTATTCACATTCTTGCTTTCATGTATGTATGATTGTTGAATAAAACAAAATCTATGAAAGAATGGTCAAAACCTACGAATTGATTTGAGAAAACGACCGAATTAGGTGAAAATGCAACATGCTGTTTGACTGAGTTTTTTTTTTTTTTTTTAAGATAAACAAATTGCTAGACCAGCACTATAATTTGAATGAAATACAGATGGTCTAAACTGTATTCATCTTTTTCAGTCCAAAAAAAATTGTATTCATCTTTATTACTCTTCATTAATAGGATTTCCTTTTTCCTTTCAAAAAGTTCAAAATTTAAAAATTATGTTAAAAGCTAGATCAAATTTAGAATCTTATGAAATATTTTTTTCTGAATAAACTTAGTGGTCAGTGATTTTAAATATCGAAATGACTTCAGCCATAGATTAATTTTAATTCTCATATTATTTATTATTTAAACAAGTTTGGATTTATATTTTAGATGGCGTACCGCATAAAAATATTTGACCATATGCTAATGAATGTAATAAAGACTTTTGAAATGGCAATATAAATATGTGCAAATTTTGAAATCGTCAGAGTATTCAGATTGCAGCTGAACTAAGCTTGAAATTAGACTTTTTTCAACCTTACAAAAAGAGAAATCCTGCCAATTGCTCAATTTAGAGATTTGGACTGTAAATTAATAAAGTTTAAGATTTTTATGTGATTTTACCTTTTTTTAAAGAAAAAGAAAGGTAATATGTTATCCTAGATGATTAAAACCAAACGGTATTTCTTTTTTCCTCGAGATCTCTCCCTTGTGTTCAGGTGAGATATTTCAATTGAAACATTTTAGATGAATGTTCAATTGAGATATCCAACCGTCAAAATCGATATCAGTATAATTTTTCAAATAAATGCTCAGAAAATACTGAGACATAAAATTATGACGATGTCAAAATAAACTCCAACTTGTGTCTACAGATTCATGCATTCACATTCACATGATAAATAAATCAGAATCAACGAAATGGTCTTCAGAACCGTGTAGAGCAGTTTGATAAAGTCAGATAGTTGAGTAAATTTGAATATTAAGGTTGAGAACTTTGGTTATATATATATATATACACACACACACATACATACGTGTGTGTGTGTGTACATATAGGCCACAACAACTAAATATTGTTGCTCAAAAACAGTAGAAAGGAAGAACCTATATCATCTTTCAAAATGCTCATCTTACTGTTTCTCATTGCTTCTTTTCTGGTTTTGCTTTTAATGGTTCTCACAAAGCCAAAGCCTTCTGTTGAGGGTGGCACTCATAAGCCTCCAGGACAAATTTCTAGTAAGTTTTGTTGACAATTTTTGCTTCTTAACTAGTGGAATTTATTTCAAGCTAAAATTTATGCTATGTTTGCGTTTTGGCCCTCCATTTTCTATCAAAACACTTAAAAAGATTTGTTTTTCTGTGAAGCTTCCATTTTCCAGGGTTCTTTGAAACTTGGAAGTTTTCTTAGTTGATTTTCTTAGCGGTTAACTTGGTTTTGATTTTTTTCCCAAAAAAACAAATGTTTGGTTGAAGTTACGATTAATAGTTTTATTTCAAGTTTTGGCATTTAAGAAAAATTGGACACCCAATTAGTTCTTATTCCTACATGTACTACTTAAGTATATGGTCTAGAATAACAACTTAATTTTAAAAAATTACAAAATAAGAATTCAGTATTTTCATAGAGGGCTAGAATAATAAAATAAATATGTGTTTGGTCTTGTATATTTTGCAGCTCCAACAGTTACAGCAAGAGACCTTCCACGAGGGCATAACTACTGATGATGCAGTTGGCAATAAATTTTACAAACATTCTATGACTTAGAATGTGTAGAGTGATTGACTTGTGTAATTTTAATTGTAATAATTTGAACTTTATGTTTTTGCAGAAATAATTTGAACTCGATATTTTTGCAGAAAATGTTGTGTTTGATGATACAAAATTCAATCCTTTTGTTTGATCACTTATGTAACTTTTATAAATCCCAGTTATATAAGAATAACTTGGATATATAAGCATTTTAAGATCGAGACTCTTTTAAGGAGAAAATATGATTTGATAATGTATAATAGAAGTTTTAGCATAAACAAACAATTTCTCTCAATATATATATATATAATATAGGGAATATTATAAATAAGAACATTTTAAAATACTTTATTAACTACTTTAATTTTTTTGTTACTTAACTCCTACGAAAACTGTATTTTTTTGACCAGCCGATTCAAACACCTCCTAGATATAATGTCATACTTTTATATATACGTGCGCGCAGGGGCATCAATATCTTCTTAGGCTTTCTATGTTAAAAAGATGTATAAGCAAACTTGACGTACCTTAACCCAAAGCCAATACATCAAATTCACGAGTCCTTCTAGTCATTTATGTCATGCTCAGGTTTTGAGGCTAATAGCTCGAAATAAGTCTAACCTAAGCAAACTACTAAGTATAGTTGAGCAGTACAAGAAATGCCCTCAAATGAAAATAGGCTTTCAGAGACTAAATTGTAAATTAAAAGTTTTTTCTCGGTTAAAGCATAAAGATTTTAAGACTATGAGAAATTTCCAAAGGCCAAAATGAAAGAGAGAGTACGACTTGACTTTTCGTCATAAATATTTTCAGAGATTGTTAATTATTTGTATTGGATATTACTCTGTCAATAGGAATTCCCATTTTTTTTTAAAAAAAATAGAAAACCCTTTTAATATACACAATCTATGGAGATATGTGGTTGGGAAAAAACCACAATTTTGTTGATAAAGTGAATTAAATTCTTTTCTTTAAGATAAAAGTGGACTCTTTTATTGACTTTTATATTTATGATCGAAAGCGGGATTTTATGGCCTTAAGCCCGATCTTCTCACTATCAATAATGGGGCTAATCCCATGCCCCCTCTAGTTTGGTCTTATATATGTCTTTCCTCAAGCTCGATTAAATAAACTTCTTTGTTTTTTTTCCCCAATTAGACAAGTGGCCATGCTTCCTAATTTTTCCACTTGCCTAAATTTTAATATATGAACATGAGCTTGCACGTCACGTATCATAACCTTGTCACTTTGAAGATGATGACAATAATACGCTTTAACAATTTTAAGACCATGTAAAGAGCTTATTAATTAATTTTGTACGTTAACTACGTGATCCTTGTGCTTTACACGTGAAATTTTCATAAACAAAACACATTGCTTTATAATTTATGAATCTTATTATAAATTTATGTATTGACACTGATAGATACAAAATAGCAACTTCGTACATTTTTTTTCTTCCCACATAGAAAGTAAAAAAAATATTTATATCAAGTCCTTTATATCCATTACTTCAAGTTCTCTCCTCATATATGGCCTCATGTTTTTTTTAATTGTGAATTTATAATTTAGGAACTTAACCTACGTATTGTCCAATATGGAGTTTACTTTCAATAAAATAATAATAAGATAATTTTTTCCAAGAAATATTTTCTCATATATTTATATATTGATACAACTATATGGTATCTCATATAAACGGATTTATTATATTTATTTTGTAAGAAAAATAAAGTCATATCATAGCATGTTTGGAAATGGATGCTCACATGAATTTGGATCTGCTCAGATTATTATTATTATTTAGAATTGCATCATCTAGAGTAGATCCAATTTTGTCTCATTTTTTTTATTTTTAATCATTTTCTATTTTTATTCCTTTAGCAAAAG